CTTAGAGTTCAAACTTTTTTGAAGCAGATTTGTCATCGTAAATTAGTAGTTAGAGTGGAGTTGAAGAAAAGAGGGATTTCTTTGGAGGATGTGCTTTGTCCCTTATGCCATTCCCATGAAGAATCCATAGATCACCTGTTCTTATCGTGTTCTGTTGCTAGGGAGATGTGGAACAAATTTCTTAGGTTATGGGATATCTCTACTGTTTTGCCTCAAGATCCATCTTCCCTTCTTTGCTCGTGGTCGAACCTTAGGCAGAACTCTCCTATTTGGAGGTTCATATCGACTGTTGTTTTCTGGTCAATTTGGAAGGCAAAGAATCTGGTTGTGTTTGAAAATGGGAATTTTGGCTAAATGGTATTTTGTTAGGATTTTCGGAAGCTCGAATCGACAACCGGAACGATTTGCAAAGAGGGGTTGGAACGGTTTTGTGTTTAGGGAGTAAGAAGATTGAAAGATAGAAAATTGCATAGCGATTTAGAGTGGTTCGACTTTCTCAACCAAAGTCTACATCCACTACCTTAGCTCCCCACTAAGGATTTTCTAACAAATTCACTAATTTGTTCTTTCTTTTGAGGACAAAGAGATAACCTTACAACTCCCTAGTTTTTCCGGGCTAAACTAGAACCTTTCCCTAGCTTTTACATGGGATAAGCTAGAACCTTTCCCCTTTACAAAAGGATAAAATTAGTAAACAAGAAAACCTCTTTAAGGTAGGTGTTTACAAGATTGAGCTCACAAGAACAAAATATTTACAAGAGAAAGATGAAATAAGAATGAAAAACTCTTCTCTTATGTTTGATTGCTTGGATAGTTGCTCTCTTTACTTCTTCAAGTGTCCTTAGGTTGTATTTATAGCTTGGAATGTGTTTGAAGTCGTATATAGACGTTGGGGATGTTTTGGAGCCGTTTGGAGATGAGAAACAATTAATAAAACAAATTGGAGCGTGGGGAGAATTGGTACCCCCTCATGGGGAATCGGTTCCCTAAGTGCAATCTGTTTTTGACAGTTAGACAGGGGGGAATCGGTACCCCCTGGGGGGGGAATCTGTTCCCCCTGGGGGGAATCTGTACCCCCTGGACATTTTGTTTTCTCGGAGCCAAAAACCTGTAGGGGGAATCTGTACCCCTGGACAATCTGATTTTTCTTGGCTTTGAAACGGTTCGAAATACTTTGTAAAATTGTTTTAAAAATAGTTTAAGTATAAAACACAATTTTATACTTTAGTAAGGATTAAAATGAACTTTGAAACATTTGGAGTTATATTTTGATATTCGAATAATTACATCGAATATACTTAGAAAATCTTTTGTAAAATCTTAAAATTCATTTAACTTAATTTGTTCTATCGAAACATCAAAATGTTTTCAACAATCTCCCCCTTTTTGATATAACAAAAAATTTGAGTAATTTTAAGATTTTGAAATCAAGTTTGAAATTACTCCCCCTTACTTTAACATTTTTCCCCTTTAACACTTCTCCACCTTTTTGTTAAATCAAAAAGAATCTAATCTTTGAAGTTCAAAATAACTTTGGAGAGTAAGTAGTAAATTTGACATTTTAAAAATCATTTGAAAAAATCAAAGCTCCCCCTCAATAAATGCATTCCAAATAAAATTATGCTTTTAGGATCTTGACACTTAAACAAAATTGAATTTCAACAAAGAATAACAAACATGTTAGTAGCACATGAAATTCAATATATCCAAGACTAAAATACTTTATGCAATACCAATAGTTGAAATTTGATATCAATATCAATTGTTAAAATTAAGTGCATATGCATAAAGTTTTCCAAAAATGTTATGCATTTTGAAAATTTTGATATCAATTGTTAGAGAGATATCATTTTCATTTAAAACACATGCATAAACATTCAAATTTAGGTCAAAAATTTTAAAATTTGTAAAATCAAAGTATTTGAAAAATTGATATCAATTGTTAGAGAGCAATCAATTGCATTAAAACCAGTTTTGACCAAAATTTTATTATGATGAACTAAAAATTCATAAAAATTAATATAACTTTAAAATGTTCATCATAATCATCTTTTCAACATACATGAGATTAAAACAATGATGCATAATCATTTAAAAACAAAACTCATGCATGCTTAAAATCAAATGAGCAACCAAATAACCAAAATTAAAAGCATTAAGCTTAGAGGTTACTCATTCCTTTTTCATGTGTGGCTAGAGCATCTTGAATATCATCACTCTCATCACCATTGCTCTCACACACCTACAAGAGACATTTAAGTAGATTTTGGTATCCAAATTGCTTTGGATCCTTGGACGTTAGTTTCAATGCCCCTTGTTCCTTTCGGAACCCATACTTGCCTAATTTTAAAACGTTTTCCTTTCTTCAAAGGACAAGTATGTTCCAAATGACCATGATAATGACAATGTGAGCATATTGTCATTATTGAACGAAATGAATTATTTAAAATGATTTTTTTCTTTTGTTAAGCATTCAAGCTTAAATTTTAAATCAAAATTTTGTTTTTCAAAACTATCAATTTTTATTTTTGAAAGCTCTAAATCTTTTTTCAAAATTTCATTTTGACATTCAAAATCTATTTTTGTTTTCAAAAGAAAATCATTTTCAATTTTAAATTTTGAAATCATTTTCTTATATTTGGAGTTCATGGTCTCAAACTCCGAATATAACCTATTAAAAGCATCTTGTAACTCATCAAACGTATATGAATTAAATTCATTTGAGTTAGAACATACCTCGGGCTCTTCATAAGCCATTAGAGACACCACCTTTGTTGGTTCTTCTTTCTTGTTTCCATGGATTTCCTCGAGCTTATTCCAAAGCTCCTTGGCACTTGAACATGAAGAAAACCCTTCATAGATTTCAGGACCAAATGCACAAAACAACATGTGCATGGCCTTGGCATTAAGTTGAGCTTTCTTCCGTTCTTTGTCACTCCGCTTCTTCTCCTTCTTCTTTGGAGAAGAGTAGCCATTCTCGATTATCTCCCATACATCAAGATCATTGGATTGGATGAATACCTTCATTAATTTCTTCCAATGATGATAGTTGACTCCATTGAAGTATGGAGGTTTGTCGGTTGGTAGGGAGTCTTTCATGTAGAACGAGCCGGAGGTGGAAGCCATCTTCTCGGTTGTGTCGGGAATTGGTAGAGCTTCTTCTAGGACCGTCTCAAGGTGGTTAATCCTTCTTAACGAGTTAGGCTCTGATGCCAATTGTTAGGATTTTCGAAAGCTCGAATCGATAACCGGAACGGTTTGCAAAGAGGGGTCGGAACGGTTTTGTGTTTAGGGAGTAAGGAGATTGAAAGATAGAAAATTACACAGCGATTTAGAGTGGTTCAACTTTCTCAACCAAAGTCTACATCCACTACCTTAGCTCCTCGCTAAGGATTTTCCAAAAAAAAATCACTAATTTGTTCTTTCTTTTGAGGACAAAGAGATAACCTTACAACTCCCTAGTTTTTTCGGGCTAAACTAGAACCTTTCCCTAGCTTTTACACGGGATAAGCTAGAACCTTTCCCCTTTACAAAATGATAAAATAAGTAAACAAGAAAACCTCTCTAAGGTAGGTGTTTACAAGATTGAGCTCACAAGAACAAAATATTTACAAGAGAAAGATGAAATAAGAATGAAAAACTCTTCTCTTATGTTTGATTGCTTGGATAGTTGTTCTCTTTACTTCTTCAAGTGTCCTTAGGTTGTATTTATAGCTTAGAATGTGTTTGAAGTCGTAAATAGCCGTTGGGGATGTTTTGGAGCCGTTTGGAGATGAGAAACAATTAATAAAACAGCTTGGAGCGTGGGGGGAATCGGTACCCCTCATGGGGAATTGGTTCCCTAAGTGTAATCTATTTTTGACCGTTAGACAGGGGGAAATCGATACCCCCTGGGGGGAATCTGTTCCCCCTGGACATTCTGTTTTCTCGGATCCAAAAACCTGTAGGGGGAATCTGTACCCCAGGACTATCTGATTTTTCTTGGCTTTGAAATGGTTCGAAATACTTTGTAAAATTATTTTAAAAATAGTTTAAGTATAAAACACAATTTTACACTTTAGTAAGGATTAAAATGAACTTTGAAACATTTGGAGTAATATTTTGATATTCGAATAATTACATCGAATATACTTAGAAAATCTTTTGTAAAATCTTAAAATTCATTTAACTTAATTTGTTATATCGAAACATCAAAATATTTTCAACATATTTAGCTAAACACCCTATTGTTCGGATTCAGACAGACCTATTAGTAGGGGATCCTTCGAGGGCTGATATAATTCAGAATTCTTTTATTCCAAAGAAGGTTATTGGCTGGACTCCTCCTCCAACGGATGTGTTTAAACTCAATGTCGATGGGGCAGTTAGTGGAGATGGGATGATAGGTGGAATTGGAGGTATTTTGAGAGATTCTTACAGCTAATCATTAGCATGTTTCTCTACTATAGTAGGGCCTGGTCTTCCTACTTTGACAGAACTGAAAGCTATTAAGAAAGGAATTGAATTCTTCTATTCTTCTGATTGGGCTAGGAAGGGAAGACTTATTACAGAGAGTGATTGCAAAAACGCAGTGGATTGGATTTTAAAGTAGCAATCTGCCCCTATTTTTTTAGTGATATGGTGGAGGAAATCGGGGCTTTAATTACTTCCAAAGGATTTGTTCTTAGATGGATTCCTAGGAGTTGTAATATGGAGGTTGACAGGTTAGCTAAGCAGGGGATCGGTTGAGTGTAGCAGGCTTATTGTTGTAATGTTTTATGATTTTTCTTCAGGTTATGTATAGGCTCAAACCTTGTAATAGTTTTGCTAGTTTGGTAAACAATACTCTCCATCAGAAGTAGTGACCTAGCTTAGTAGTTTAGTGCTATTGTTTTGGGTTGGTTATGGGTGTTTGTATGGTTTTCTGTTTTAGATGGAGGTGTTGTCATGGATGTATCTTATGTAATTTCTGTTATTGAATGAAATCCTAAGGCACTCTTTTCCTCCTTCCAATGATTAAGGAGCTCTCTTCCAAGCTCCATTAATTAAGAAGGGTTTTTTTTTAATGAGGCCTTCAATTCTTATAAAAAAAATTATTATGAAGTTTTGTCTTCTCCAAGGGCTGATAGATGTTCCTAGGTATTGATTGGGCCATTGAGGTGTTAATTATTGGCTGTTAGTGACCCAAATTCTATTCATGCTGAAAATAATTGGTATTAGAGATTTTATAGCTTAAGTAATCTCCTAAAAATGAGCTTTTGATCTTTGAGACGTTTCTCTGCAGATTAAAGTGTTTACAGATTGTGAAAGCTTCAGTTTAATGGGTAACATCAATCTTTTTTTCTAGGAAACTTATTCTCAGTATTCAAGTTACATGGATAATTGGTATTGTTCTATCATAAACTTTTTTATTCAAACGGTGTACGTATCATCTGATATTTTAAAATTTTCCAGGTAAGGAACATGCCCTTGTCATATGCAATCACAAAAATGATATCGATTGGCTAGTTGGATGGGTTTTAGCACAGGTATGTAATTAATTTATTTCAATTCCATCTTTTTTGCATACTGTTCATTTGAGTTGTGCCTTATTATTTTTTCTTCCATTGTGCTTTCCAAAATTTGCTATTAGGCATTCTAGCTTCATGATCTTTTGTCCCTTTAAGTTCTGCCTGGTTAAGAAACAATTGATCTTTCTTCTGGCAGCGATCAGGTTGTCTTGGCAGTACATTAGCTTTAATGAAGAAATCATCAAAATTCCTGCCGATATGTGTCAGTATCATATGTTTGAAGTATCAAATTTGAACATTGATATATGATAACTCCGTAAAAAGGTCATAATTGGGACCTTTTCACTTAAGTTATTGATTGTCTAAAAGCCCATTTAGGATCATATAGATGCATTTAGGAGCATATAGTTGCATGTGGTGAAATTTTGTTTGTCGCGGCATTTTATTTTGTAATCAGTGTTGCATTATGGGGAAGGTGTTTTGTTTAATGATGTGAAGGATTTGGGAGCAAGGAAAAGCAAAAGGGAAATGCCATGACATAAGGAGACTACTGAGCAAAATGCAATTGCCGCGACATCTCGGACATCATTTCTGGGCAGAAAAAGTCAAAGAATATATTTTTAGTAAGAGCCATCTGTCATGGCATAAAAAGTGCTTTCTGCAATCAACATTAAAGGAGGGGCCAGTTACCATCTTTGCACCAACTCTCGCATAAAAGGAATAAACTTTAGGGTGCAAGGGTAATTTTAACACAAAACCCTAGGAACTTAAAGGGATTGTAAGGAACGGATTAACTTGCTTTGTGCTTTCTTATTTCGAACCCCACCATGAACTAATCCTATTTGGTGGGAGTTTATTTTGGATATTTAAGATTTGCTTTAATGAATGATTGTTTTTCTATGTTATAATCTATTTTGCTTATGAATTTTAATGCCTTAAGGTTGTAGGAGCTATGAGAGTAGCCATTCCTTAGGTGATTACTTAGTGTTCGAGAGAATGCCTAAGTAGCATATCCTTAGTATTCGAGAGAAACTAGAGAGGAACCACATAAGCAAGGAGTTATAGATAGTAACTAGGCCTAATCCACCTTAGAGATAAGGCTAGGATTTCATTTGACTAAAAGGAGTTGTGCATGAGCGATAGGTTAGATGTTAATGCTGCCGTAAAAAAGGTATTACCGAGACATATCCTGTTATTTGGACCAGTAGGATCCCTGCAGTAGCTAACGCCAATCGGTTTTGCCAAGGCATCTTCAATCTGTCGAGACCTTTAACTAGAGATAGCATAAGGCACCCTTAGTAAACTTTGTCGGGCAGTTAAGGCATAGAAGTAAAACCATTCTGAGAAGTGGACTTAGATTTTCCTAGGTAACTCCCATCACTCATTCCCATAGTATCTTATCGTGTGAGGAGTCTAAAGTTCTTATAAGCAAATCCAGTATTTACAGTTTATTTTTCCTTTACATTTTTATTTGATCGCACTACACACAATCCATTTTGCCACAACATATTCATCTGCTACCACATTGCCATCATTCCATTTCCATATCATCCATTCATTTTGCCACATCATCATCATTTGTATATATACCATCTCTAACTTTACTTAGGTGACAGAGTAAAGTGTCGTGACAAAAGTATTTGATTTCCCCCAATCCCTGTGGAGAAAGATACTCACTCATCACTTTATTACTTGTTCGATTGTGTATACTTGCACACATATCCGCACCATTTATAGTACTCACAAACAACGAACAAGTTTTTGGTGTCGTTGCCGGGGATTGGCAACTTGAAGTTAAATTATTTTGTCATAACATTATTATTTTACTTGTTTATTTATTTATTTAATTTTTTAAATAGTTTTACTTTTTATTTTCTTTATCTTTTTCAGGTTTTTTTTGCGGTGTATGACCAGTAGACATTCGGACGAGCCATTAGAACCGGTTGAACCTGAGATCGAGAGGCTCTTTAGGAGAAGACGTGCAAATATGTATCAAATTGGAAATCAAGGCATTGGTCATGAGGATGATCAGAATGTCAGGATAATTCCAAATGCTGGGAATGCAGCCAGACCTTGTGCCATTCGTGAACCCGATCTTAGATAATTTAAATCCTGGAATTGTGGCACCAGAAATTCAGGCAGCCCACTTCGAGCTTAAACCTATCATGTTCAATATGCTGAACTCCATAGGGCAATTTGGGGGCATGCCAAATAAAGATGCCAGACAGCACATTCGTAACTTCTTGGAGGTTTGTGATTCCTTTCGCCAACTAGGAGTGCACGAAGATGTCTTGAAATTAAAGCTATTTTCGTATTCTCTGCGTGTCCGAGCAAGGGATTGGTTGAGTGGCGTTCCAGCGGGTTCAATGGAGTCGTGGACTGATCTGTGCAAAATTTTTTGCTGCGGTATAATCCTCTGAACATGAACACCCAACTGAGGAACGACATAGCTTCTTTTCGTCAAGCTGATGACGAATCAATGTATGAGTGCTGGGATCGATACAAGGCATTGCTTCGCAAATGTTCAAATCATGATTTTCAAGATTGGACGCAAGTGGTGATGTTCTACAATGGAGTTAATGCACCCACGAGGATGATGCTAGATGCCTCGGAAAATGGGACGTTACTTGACAAATCACCAGCAGAGGCATTTGACATTCTGGATAAGATTGCCACCAACGATTACCAATTTCCATCCACAAGGCTTGGACTTGGGCGAAAAACACATGGAGCTTTCGAGCTAGATTCTAAGTATACGGTGTCCGCCCAACTTGCTGCCATCACCAACATGTTGAAGAATTTGCAGAGGCCAAGTGAGGTGAGAGAAACAAAGGCAACCCATTCAGCATGTTTATTATGCCACGACAATCACAATGAGAGTGACTGCCCGACTAATCAAGAATCCATCAATTATGTTGGCAACTTCAATCGAGGCAACAACAACCCCTATTCCAACACATATAATCCTGGATGGCGTCAACATCCAAACTTTTCACAGGGAAATCAAGGATCCAACAATACTCATCAACCAGCTCGGCAACAAAATTTCAATGACTCCTAAGGTTATCAATCGAATATGCCATGGCATAATTCTAACAAGGGAGGACCATCTTCATCCAACACTAGTTCCTTGGAGGCCACAATGCAAGAGTTCATAGCAACAACGAAGACCATACTGCAAGACCATGCGACCTCCATCAAAAACCAATGAGCCCTGCTTCAGAGCCATAGTTCGTCATTAAGGGCGCTGAAGAGTCAGGTTGATCAAATTACCGCGGTATTACAAGAACGATGACCAGGACATCTACCGAGTGACACTGAAGTCACAAAACCTCATGGCAAAGAACACTACAGTGTGCTAACTCTCCGGAGTGGTACACAAATCAATATTGAAGATAAGTTTGGGGGAAGACCGAAGGTTGCTTCACCCCCTGTGATCGTGCAAGTTGAGCAAGAATTGCCGGAAGAAGTACCAGTGGAAGAGGATGAAGGTTCATCGAGTAAAGCAACTGAGGAGGTAAACAAAAATGCCAAGGCAAATTCTATTCCCTCTCCGTCAGTATAGGAAGTCAGACCCCCACCTCTTTTCCCACAAAGACTGAAGAAGCATAACGAAGATATCCAGTTTAAGAAGTTCGTTGACATTCTGAGTCAACTTCAAATCAATGTTCCTTTTCTGGAGGCTATGGAACAATTGCCTATATATGCTAAGTTCCTCATGGAAATTGTGACCAAGAAAAGAAAGGCTGAGCATTACGAGACAATTGCCATGACAAAAGAATTTTGCTCATCCTTAAGCAAGCTGCCACCAAAGAGACATGATCCGGACAGTTTTATCATCCCATGTTCGATAGGAGACAAATTTGTTGGGGATGCACTATGTGACCTTGGCTTGAGTGTAAACTTGATGCCTAAATCAATTTTCGTAAAGCTTGGGATAGGAAATGCGAGACCGACAACTGTCATTTTACAATTAGCCGATCGTTCACATGTGCGTCCTGAAGGGCGAATTGAAGATGTCATCGTGCAGGTTGACAAATTTGTTTTTCCTGTCGATTTTTTAATTCTGGACTGTGAGGTTGACGCCACAGCACCCATCATCTTGGGGAGACCCTTCCTAGCTACCGGTCGTATTCTCATCAACTGTGAGAGGGGCGAGTTGACCATGCGAGTGGCCGATCAACATGTCACTGTGAATGTCTTCCAATCTCTCAAGTACATGGATGATTCTGAAGAATGCCAGAGCATTTTAGAAGTCGATATAGTAATCACGAAAGAAGCAGATTAATTTTGCCAGGACAATTTCATTTAGCTGGAACCTGATGAGGGGCTAATCGAAGACTTAAAGGTTGGAGAACCTAATGATTTTTTATCCGAGGAACATAAGGCTAGTTTCCTCAAAGCTAACCCAGGTACGCGGTTTGAACCTCTTAATTTTAAAGAGTTTGTTCGTCCCAAGCCCTCATTACAGCATGCTCCTACCCTAGAACTTAAGAATTTGCCACGGTATCTTAAATATGCTTATATGGGTAGTAATGAAACTTTACCTATGATTATTTCCTCTGCCCTTACTCCTAACCAAGAATCTAGTTTGCTAAGTGTTTTGTCACAACATAAGCGATCATTAGGATGGACGATGTCAGATCTGAAGGGAATAAGTCCAACAATCTGCATGCACAAAATCCTGCTGGAAGAATGTCATGGCAATTCCATAGAGCCACAGCGCAGACTAAATCCAATCATGAAACAAGTTGTGATGAAGGAGATTCTCAAATGGCTTGACGCTGGCGTAATATACCCTATTTCTAATAGTTATTGGGTGATTCCCGTTCAATGTGTGCCAAAGAAGGGAGGCATGACTGTGGTGATGAGTGAAGACAACGAGTTGATATCTACTCACACGGTTACCGGGTGGCGGATTTGCATGGACTACCGCAAGGTCAACAAGGCCACCAAGAAGAATCACTTCCCTTTGCCGTTCATCGATCAAATACTGGATCGACTTACTGGCAAGGCATTTTATTGTTTCTTGGATGGATACTCGGGGTATAATCAGATTGCCATCGCACCGGAGGACCAAGAGAATACAACATTCACGTGTCCTTATGGCACGTATGCTTTTCGAAGAATGCCTTTTGGACTGTGTAATGCCCCGACAACTTTTCAGCGCTGCATGCAAGCCATATTTTCAGACATGGTTGAGGACTTTCTGGAAATTTTTATGGATGATTTTTTAGTTTCTGGAGATGATTTTCAAAAATGCCTCGGCAATTTGACGAAGGTACTGAAGTGATGTGAGGAGGTTGATCACGTGCTGAA